TACCTTCGAGTAATTTGGCTGTCATATGAAATTTAGTTTTTCAACTTCCTTTATTCATTTGAGGAAAAGGAGTGGTATTTATACTATTTTATAGTAGTTCATTTGGAGAAGGTTAAAGGTTAGACTTTATAATGTCCTACATTCATTTACAATGAATGTGGTGTGCGTTGAATTTCATCTCTTAGAATTCTTCATGCTTTGACAAAAACGTAAAAATATTTAGAATAAAATACGAGTCATTCTCATTCACATATCTTACTTAATTCCATCATTAAATAATTTAATGCAGATTGAATACTTTTAAAACTGATTTCATCTATATCTAATTAGTTATTAGAATACATATTTGGATTTGTAAAAAAAATATAATAGAAATAGTGTTTTGAAGGATAAAAAGGTATTTCAACTTTTCATTTTGATGTTCCCACTTTTAGTATAATAATATATATATATATGATTACAAATAACCTCTTAATACAATCAAACTTTATTGTTGTTCATCATTTGTCCGACACTTTTTCTACCAAGAATATTTAACATTTGAATGCACTTTTTCTTAATATAAGTTATATCCCCAAATTACTAAAAACTAGCAAAATCACCTAACTTGACTACTTGATATATATATATAATGTCATAAATTAAATCTCATATATGGGCTACTGCATATTTTTATTTTAAAAAAAATCACTTTATTTGAAAATTTTGAAGTTGGAGTTAAGGATGATTTGTTATAGTTTTTGCAAATAATATTTGATTTTCTAAAAAAATAAAATATAGTTTAAATAAGGTCATTTTTATAAAAAAGATAATACTAATTAAAAAGTACAAAATTTGAAAAAATAAAATAATAAAAGTGAAAAGGTAAAAAAGATATTGATTTTCACTATTTTCATGATCAAATGCCGATTTTCGAATAAATCAAAATAATTTTAAGAAGAGAAAAGGTCTAAGTTATCTACGACGCCTTAAAGTTGTCCGCATAATTCATTTAGACACCTCAACTAAGACTCGTACCTATTGAACACCTCTACCCTCCTGAATTTGAACCATTTAAATATTTTTTTGCCTACATGGCACATTGTTTGTGATTCACCTCAAATAGGCGCGTGAAATGTATTTAGTTTTGCGTTTTTTTTTTGGAAAAAGATGTTCTTCCTTCTTCCTCACCTATTTGCCATCACTTCCTCCACCGCACCAGTTCACGCCGCCATCATACATCCTTCTTCTTCCTCTTTTTTCCTCCGATATTTTAGTTCTTCTACTTCCATCTGTTTTGTTTTTCTCCATTGACATTCATGGTAGGATTGGCAGCATCGTCATTGCCACCGCCATGGCGGCCATCATAATCGTCATTTTTATCATGTTAATTTGTAGAGGGCTTGAGTTTGAATTTTTTTTTTGCTGTTAATATAATGTTTTGGGGTTAAATTAATGTAGATTTGTGTGATTTTGTTTGACTAATCAACTATAGAACTCAAAAATAAATCCGACATAACTCAATTTTTCCAATAATGTCATAGGAGTTGGTTAATTTTTCGATGAAATTCATCTTTTCGTACAAAAAATTGAATGAAGAAGAAAGTGAAAAAAAATATATTTCCTATTCAGCGTAAAGAAATCGACAAGAACTAATGACTTGGAGAAATTTATCATCAACTCCTCCCCAACTTATTTACTTTGAATTTTCTCTTGCAGATGAACCAAGAAAGTTCTATAATAACATATTTACGGGTGGGTTACAGTGTTGGGGGGTGGGGCATCGTAGAGGGAGAAGACTTTTGGGCTCCGCTGGTATAAGGGGTGGGTAAGTTAGAGGATTTCTTTTTAAAATGTTTATTTTTAACTTAAAAATAATTTCCTTTTTCTTTTACTTTATAGTACATTTTAAAATAATTTTTTGGACTAAAAATACCAGATGTTATTATTTAATTCGTCAACTTGCCATGTCATCGCGAGGATATTTCACACACTTTATACTTTTAGTTTATTGTCAAAAAAATATTCAAATGGTTCAAATTTAAAGGGATAGATGTGTTCAATAGATACAAGCCTCAGTTCAAGTGTCTAATTGAATTATGCGGACAACTTTAAGGAGCCGTATATGACTTAAGTCAAGAGAAAATGAAAAAATATCTTGACAAAATAGATGGACTCAAATTTCATTATGATAGTTGGTACCAAATATTTGATTGATAAATATTGAAAGTAATGATTGGTAGGTAAATTTAAAGTTCTAGTCGTTACATTAAATTATAAATATTACAATTTTATGTTATATGTAATTGTTTCTTAATTGTACTAAAAAGGATCAATATTTTGTAATTATTTTTATTGATATTTAGTGATGCAATATTTAACTTTTAAGTTGATTCATTAGTTTTTTTAAGTCAAATATTAAGTCAACTTATAAAAGAATCAAGATCAAACTAATATATCGAACTACATTAGTGAATCACCAAGTTTAAACTCTTTGTATTTAGATAGTAGCTAGGCTCATGTCAGTAGTAGGAAGATTTTGAACTCACATAATGCATGTCCACTTATTACTAGATAATCAAATTTAAAATTTAAATAGAAACGTAAAACGTTTATAGTGATCGACGTATCGCTTGTAAATGGTACACGACAATTCTCCAACCACGTGACATACAAGTTGACAATTCAAGTGGAGATAACTCGAACAGACCACCTTAAATTTGGACTATCTGTCGAGAAAGTTGTGAAAATATCGTCGTTCAACACGTGAAAGGATATTATTTTCAAATCTTAAATATTAGGAGATTAAAGTGAAATTTACTTTTAAAAAAAAAATCATTTATACAATCAAGTCATTTATTAAATAATTACAAATAACTTCTTAATACAATTAAACCTTATTATCGTTCATCGTTTGTCCGATACTTTTTCTACAAAATATATTTAGAATTTGAAAAAAAACGCAAAACTAAATACATTTCACGCGCCTATTTGAGGTGAATCACAAACAATGTGCCATGTAGGCAAAAAAATATTTAAATGGTTCAAATTCAGGAGGGTAGAGGTGTTCAATAGGTACGAGTCTTAGTTGAGGTGTCTAAATGAATTATGCGGACAACTTTAAGGCGTCGTAGATAACTTAGACCTTTTCTCTTCTTAAAATTATTTTGATTTATTCGAAAATCGGCATTTGATCATGAAAATAGTGAAAATCAATATCTTTTTTACCTTTTCACTTTTATTATTTTATTTTTTCAAATTTTGTACTTTTTAATTAGTATTATCTTTTTTATAAAAATGACCTTATTTAAACTATATTTTATTTTTTTAGAAAATCAAATATTATTTGCAAAAACTATAACAAATCATCCTTAACTCCAACTTCAAAATTTTCAAATAAAGTGATTTTTTTTAAAATAAAAATATGCAGTAGCCCATATATGAGATTTAATTTATGACATTATATATATATTTCAAGTAGTCCGGTTAGGTGATTTTGCTAGTTTTTAGTAATTTAGTGATATAACTTATATTTAAAAAAATGCATTCAAATTCTAAATATATTTTGTAGAAAAAGTGCTGGACAAACGATGAACGACAATAAGGTTTAATTGTATATAAATAATCAAATTTGTTCCAAGCTCAAAACAGATAGAATATAATGTGATAAGTGAAATCTCATATACGAGCTACTACATATTATTAAAAAAATATATTTTTTCACTTTATTTGAAAATTTTGAAGTTGAAGTTGAGGATGATTTAGTTATAGTTTTAGCATATAATATTTAATTTTCTAAAAAAATAAAATATAGTTTAAATAAGGTCATTTTTATATAAAAATAATAATAATTAAAAAGAACAAAATTTGAAAAAAATAAATAATAAAAGTGAAAAGGTAAAAAAAAATGGAATTTTCAATATTTTCAATTTTCATGATTAAATACTAATTTTCGAATAAACCAAAATAATTTAAGAAGAGAAACGAAAAGATATCTTGACCATATGGAATATGGATGGACTCAAATTTCATTATGATAGTTTGGTGCCAAATTTTTGATTTATCAAATATTGGAAGTAATAATTCTTAGGTAAATTCAAAATTATAGACATTATATAAAATTATAAAGATTACAATTTTATGTTATATGTAATTGTTTCTTAAAAGTCAATATTTTTAACATTTTAATTGTATTAGAAATGATCAATATTCTATAATTATTTTTGTTGACCAATATTTGATTTGGTGATTCAATACTTAACTTTTAAGTTGATTCATTATTTATTTTGAGTTAAATGTTAAATAAATTTATGAAAAAATCAAAATCAAACTAATATATTGAATCACATAAGTGAATCATCAAGTTTAAGCTCTTTGTATCTAGACAGTAGCTAGACTCATGTCGCTAGGAAGATTTTGAATTCACATAATACCCATTTACTTATTACTAGATAATCAAATTCAAAATTTAAATAAAAACGTGAAAGTTTGTAGTGATTGATGCGTTGTTTGTAAATGCTACACGACAACTCTCAAACCACGTAACGTATAAGTAGATAATTCAAATGGAGATGAACTCAAACAGACCCCCCTAAATTTGGACTATTTGTCGAGAAAGTTGTGAAATTATCGTCGTTCAACACGTGAAAATATATTATTTTTAAATTTTAAAATATTAGGAGGATAAAATGAAATTTGCTCAAAAAAAGTCATTTATTATTAGATTATTATAAATAACCTCTTAATACAATTAAACCTTGTTGTAATGTTATTGTTCGTCTAAAATTTTATAATTGCTATGGTAAAATATATTTATGGGTATGTATAGTGATATTTAATGACTATTATAATAACTATAACGAGGGTAAAACCCCAATCAAAACCATGCGGGTGAAACTAGTTTTTTCACCGCAAAGTAGACTCTAGAACAAGGGCACTTTCGTAAATCTAAGTTTTCTACTACAATTTGGTTTGGGTTTTCTCTAACTGCTATTAAAAGCAAAAGAAGAAAAATACTACTCCAACATAAACAATAAACACAGGAGGAAGAGGAGAGAGAAAGCTCGGAGGAGAGAGGAAGAGAGAGAAAGCTCGTCTCTCTCTGCTCTGTGAGTTTGTTTTGGTGCAAAATCATCTTCGATTGTTGTTTATCAGTTATAATAATCTCTAACTTTTATTTGCATTCATTGATTATCAGTGTTTCTGTAGAAAATTTTGATCGATTCAATATTTGTTTATTTGTTCTTTGGGAATAGTCTAACGGATTTTCAAGTATAGAGGGCACTAATTAGAATCCGTCTTCCAGAGATTTACGGAGATCACTTTTGATTTTTTTTTATTCCGTACAAAGAAACCCTAGTTTTGATGATGGCTACACCTACTACTAACCCGGCTCCGGCACATCATTCTCACTCCGGCACCGGAACCGGAACCGGCGCCGGTGGTCCCAACAGTCCACAGCAGTCACGGCGATCATCAGCCGGGCGTGGCGTTTCCTCACCTTGGATACAGGTTGTTCGCACTGGCGAATCAGAATCTACCGTTGCGGTCACCTCCTCTTCACCTCCACTTTCTCCTCCGGCGTCTTGTGAGCAAGTTGTTCACTCCTCTGATTGTTCGCCTCCTGATGAAGTGGTGATAGCCGGTTATGCATCTTCCTTATCGCCAGAAGATGCTGCTATAGACACTCAGCTTGAGAGTGACACCAACAGCAATGGGGCTAAAAAGCCGGCTTGGAATAAACCGTCAAATGGTGCAGCTGATGTTAGTCCTGTTATGGGTGCTGTCTCTTGGCCTGCTCTCTCTGACTCCACTAAGGCTTCACCTAAATTGCCTTCTTCTGATTCACTCAAATCTCTGTCCGACGGATCAGTTTCTGTAACAGAGGTTATTCCCCCATTCCTTTTCTCTATACTTTGCTCTAACTGATTAGTTTAGGATTTGAGGATTAATATAGCTGATGTTAACTACCTTAGGATTGAGGTGCACTAATTGATGTTGTTTTTGCTCTATCTGCTGCTTGGTTCTCGTTGTTTTATTGCATGTCCTATATTTTGATTATATATTTTCTGGTTATGTGTGTACATGCTAGAGGAACCTGTGTATGGATTAATAGTCCACACTAGTTCCAGAAGCTCATTTATATGTTAATGTGTGGATCTTATAGGGCACTGGGATGGCATCAGCTTCTCATAGGCAAGCTAATACTAACAATGTGAACCCTAACACTATGCTGAACCATGTTGTACCCAGCCGCCAAAGATTTATGAAGCGCGGTGGTGGTAATTCAAACCATAATGCATCAGCCAATGGTGGCTTTTCTCAGCAACAGGCACAAGGTTTTGAGGTGGAAACAGTCTTTAATAATTCTGCAAAGTCAGGTAATTCTGGTGCTGAGTCTTCTTCTAGGGATAATAATAATTATAGGAATGGTGGACAATGGGGAGGATTTGGATCTCAATCACATGGTGGAAATGACTACCAACATCAACGAAATGCAAATAGGAGAGGCAATGTTGGTCCACACCCCCGTGGAGATGGCACATATTATAATGGTTATGGGGGTAGGCGTGATCAGGAACGTCGAAATCCAGATTGGAAACCCCACAGAAGTTGGGGGAATAGGGATGCACACATGCAGCCACAGAGAGGTCCAGCTAGGCCATTTATGGGGGGCCCACCTCATACATCTCCACCTTTTATACCTACCCCCATGCCTGTACAGCCCTATCGACCTCCCATGGTTTACTCTGGTGAGATGTTTCTCTCGAAATCTTTTCTCTGAGTTAGTATACCCCATTTTGTCTCTCTACTGATACTTTAACCAATATGCAGAAGTTCCACCATTATTTTATTTTCCAGGTCCGTTCCCTGATTCACTCAGAATGCCTATGCTTTCTCCTGTACCACCTGTCTACGTTCATGTTCCAGATACCCAGTTGCATACTAGAATAGTGAACCAGATAGATTATTATTTCAGGTAGATGCTTCTTTATTCTATTTGCTTGTAATTGCTCTTATTTGCTAACTCCTTAATTGTATTCGTATTCTGAACTCTTCTTGCCCCTAAATTTTGTTGTAGTAATGAGAATTTAATTAAGGACACATTCTTGCGACAAAACATGGATGAACAGGGATGGGTTCCAGTTACGCTAATAGCAGGCTTCAAGAAAGTGAGTTGCTTTGAGTGTTTTCTTGTCCCTTAGTTCTTGGCTTATATTTTCAGCTGTATTAGTAGCTCAGTCTTTTGAAAATGCATCCCCACGTATTAATTCATGTTATTGTTGGTAACTGTTAATAATGTTGCTGAGCCTGGTTAATGGCCTTGGCTCCTTTTTTATTGGTTAGAAAATCTCAATGATATCTTTTCCTCTAACAGGGAGACAAAGTGGGAGACTGACTACCCGTGATGATGTTTTTGTATCTTATCCTTTTGACTTTCCTTTTCTATTTGTACATTTTTTCTGGTGCAAATGGTGAGCCTCTTTAGTCTTCTGTAACAGCTTGTTTTCGAGGTTTTTAGGTTGTCCTCAAGATTTGGTATCAGCATAATAGAATCATAGTAAAAATAGGACATAGTTGAACATAAAATCAGTGGAAAAGAGCCAGGCCTCTGTTTCTATCTCTCTTATCACTGTTGCCTTTTCTCTCTTAATAGTATTACAAGAGGGAATAAAGGTAGAATTAGTGAGGACTTCAAACTCCTTCCTTAGGGAGGAAAATTCCTTCATTGTCCGAACTAGTCGGGGTGGAATACTTGCAGAGTTGCATGATGTTGCCCTCTTTCTTTGGCAGGTCCATGATATGACAGGTAGTTGTAAGAAATTGAATGGATTTGATCATTCTATGGTATAACTTATGTTATATGGGGCTTTATCCAGATGCTTTTTTCAAAGTATTAATGTTCAGCGTATTAATTTGGAGTTGAGGTCACTAAACTGAATAGCTTATTTATCATGAGCAGAAATTCATGTCAAATAAATGATTGTTTTCATATGATATTTGCTGGATTTACCAATGTTCTACCTACATATATAGTACAGCTGGGCGATGTTGAGTGAGTACCTGTTTGATGGGATGGTTATGAGTGCAATATGTGAATGCTCTCTGCTACAAGGTGATCTGGATACAGTAGGTTGTAGGGTAGGCCTGCTTTTGTTGAACTTTGTTGTCCAAGGAGTATAACTTGAAAAGGTAATCTTACCTTGAAAATATTGACAGCTGAAAATTGTATGAACTATGAAGGGTTGTCCTAATATGTGAGAAAATAAGAGTATTGAAGAGATTTATTGAGGATTTGATGAAAATCGAAAATACAGAACACACTTATTCATAGGGGGAGATGCAATTCACATCTTATATCTACACAATGAGGGATGAACTCAACACTTACTCAAATATTCTGACATGCTAGTTCGCTGAACAATTGATTTTCTAAGATGATATAAAGGATTCTGATCTGTACCACATTTTAAGGAGTTTGTACTTTGACTGAATGATTTTGGTTCAATCTGGTGTGCTGTCTGTATAATAACATTTTTGTGATAGTTCTCTATGCCATTTTTGCTGCCACTGCCGTGACATATGTTGGATGATTAATCTTTCGAGGTTGAGGTGAAGGCCCTCGGAGAAGTATGTGAATATTCTTTGAGATCAACGATTCTTTAGTATATCCTAGTGCAGCATCACTTGATGAATGCCTTTAGCATTTTTTTTTCTGATAATTTTGTTTGCTGTGAAAAACCCGGCTTACTTTTCGCCTGCCAATTCTGTGTGCATAACAATTACACACTACAATCAAATCTATTTTTTATGAATTTCTTTCTGATAGAGGGATAGGTATTTCATGAAAGAAATTGTGGTCATCTAAGAAGTAGAATTTGTGCTTGTGGAAATTATTGAGTATCAGAGATAAAGAAATTTTGTGATTAATGCGGAGTCTAAATGAAATTAGTTGTACTTAATATAGAATCCAAAATATATTTCATCTCGATTTATGGTTCCACTGTTCATTTACAGGCAATAAAATACGTCAAATGGTTTGTTTTAAGATAAGAATCGGTTTTTCTATTTTTGCAGGTAATGGAGTTGACAGATAATATACAACTGATTCTGAATGTTATGAGGTCCTCTACTGTTGTAGAAGTGCAGGTATCCTTTCTATTTCTACATGTGGTTTGTGGTCTTTTTAGGCTTTTAGTCTCTACTTTCTCTGGCCAAAAAGAAAAGGTTCGCTATGCATTATTTGAGTTTTTCGGTAAAGTGCTTGTGTTGTAAAAGAATGGAGCACTTGTTAAAGACCATTAGAGAATGTGACCATGGAATCTTGTGTACACCTAGAGCCTGTTTCCCTTTTAAGAATTCAATAGCCTTACGCATTGCCCACCATATTCTTTGAAGTTGGTCATGCTAGAAACAAAATAATGGCTTGCAATTCATCCCTGTTAATGTGTCCTAGGTTCACAGTTGTGCTGTTTGATTTATATAATGAGTTTGTTTGCTGATGTCCTCTAAGCTCATTGAGATGTTTAGTGCTTCAGAATTAGGGAACTGCTTGATATCCTAATCCTAATCATGAAAATACTTGGGTAGTATTTTGCATTTACACTCTTTCACGGGCCTATTTTGGTGTGTAGTGCTTCCATAACTAGGAACATGCTCCCTCTGTCCCATTTTTTATGTGGCACCCTTTGACTTGGCATGGTGTTTATGAAAAAAAGAAGACTTTTTAAAACTTGTGGTCTAAGATAATCCTCAGAGATTTGTGTGGCTGGAAATCATTTCATTAAGGATAAAAGAGAAATTTTAAAGTTAATTTGTTTTCAATTATAGTAAGGTGACATTCTTTTTGGGACGGACTGGAAAGGAAAGGGTGCCACATAAAATGGGATGGAGGGAGTATTAGAGCCGGTTTGGATAGACTTTTGGGAGTGTTTGGCAAATTTAAATAACTTAAAATAAGTTTAAAATGACTTAAAATAAGTTAAAAGTCAAAAGTAGGACTCTCCCTACTTTTTATTCTTTGACTTAAAAGTCCTTTAAGTTTTACCTTCAAAAAGTTGTTTCTTAAAAGCTGCTTCTTAAGCCAATCCAAATGGGCTTTAAGTGTAGTGTTTATACTAAAATTAGAAAATACATGATAGTATTTGTCTCTCAACTGTTATGGGTCTTAAAATATTTCTTCCTTGTGTCGCAGGGTGAAAAGTTAAGGCGGAGAAATGACTGGTTTCATTGGCTGATACCACCATCAGTACAGAATTCAACCATGTCAAGTCCGCGATCTCCTCAAATGTCTGGTCCTGATTTGCTTGCAGAAAATCTCCAACGTGTTGTATTTGATTATAACACTACAGGACATGGAAATGCTGAAGCACATCTTAGTAGATCATCATCTACTGAATTAAGTACTCCATTTACGCAGTTTGGCAATGAGATGGCTGAACAGGCTGATGCTCAGAATTCACAGCTAATGCCACTTGGAAATCCAAGTTAAAGAGTTAACTCTTCTGGAGTGAAGAGTGAAGTCCAGAGGTTGGTAGCTGTTGTGCTTCTTCAAGCAATCAATGAGTTTTAGTTTATACTGTTGGTGGTGGTTCTGACATCTCATGAAGGAACTAGGCAGGGAATAAAAGGATAACAAACATAATTGGCAATAGAATTATAATGTCTTTAAGCATTCTTGTAGCTTGATTTTGTTGGGATGTATATTTTGTTTTGTTGGGGACAAGTATTTTCTTTTCCTTTATGTTATGTTCCTTTGTCGTGGTTATTTATTATACAGGTCTGGGCAATTTTGGTTCTACTTCCCATGCAGCCCCCCAGCTTTATCTTCTTAAGCCAAAATCCTTGGGGCAGGCTTACTGAAAGGTATGAAGTTGCTGGCTTCTGATCTTTTGTCAGAATGGTCCTGTGAAGACTTTTGTGCTGGCCCTGGGCACTTGGTTGTCTTGTTATTGTCTTTCTGTTTGTTTCAAATCTAGCACCATTGACTCTTTTATATTTACTAGTTATAGGGAACGTGTGTTGCACGTTTGTCTACTACTATTTTATAAAATTTACACAAACATAATTTTATGTCGATAGTTATTTATTGCATAATTTATTTTTATAGATATGCCAAAACTTGTATTGATTAATATGTATATGTATAAAGTTTACAATTTTCATCCAAAAGAAAAAAATAGAGATTCGAAATATAGTCGTCTAGACTAAGATATATTCTAGTAAATATATAGATGTTTTCTCTATACAGACACAACCATTTAGGTTAATATTATAATTTTATTTTTACTTATTTGTTTGACAGCTAAGAAATACTCAAATATGTAAAATCAATTAAGATTATATAACACCTAATCTAATAAGATGAATACTAGCTTTAAATTTAAGAATAAAATATACAACATTATGGAGTATTATCTTCTATAAATATTATATAATAATAAGAGTACATCATCATTTTTATACGTAGCTTCAGATCAAAATTATTGTAGAACTCACGATCCGTATATTTTTTTCTTCTTATTTCACCCCATGATAAGCTTTAATTGAAATTACAAAATGATCTTGTATTGTTAATGCCTTGGTATGTCACATCTTTACATTATACTTATTTCTATAAAATTCAGACTATGAAGAATTTGGACTTCGGATTGAAAATGTGAGATGGTGAATGTATATGATGTGTTTGTTTGAACATAGTATTTTCAAAATTTAAGAAAAGAGTCATTTTACTTTTTTATGAAGCTATAACTAAGAATTTTTGAAGATTTCGAAATTGGCATGTGTAATTGAAGAACAAAAAAGTGTCTAATGATGTAACGGAAGAAAAAAAGAAACTGTTAATAATTTAGCGACTTAAACTTTTCTTTTCAATACCTTAAATGTATTAAAAGAAATTAAATAGAAGAAAATAGCCCAATTTAACTTTTATAGAGCCCTTTTGTAATCCAACTTTTCAACTATAAGGTTATCGTATTACACTTGCAATACACTAATGTTTGACAGACGTCCCTTAGAATTTGGCTCGTCGTTTATTGTCTGACATGACCATTTATGATGAGAAACAACATCTTTCTTCTTACCCCATTCATGAATCCTCATATGAAGTTCAGCCGCAACAATCAATAAATGAACACCTTGAATTGATGTCAAAATGAACAGCTTAATATATATATATATATATATATATTATAGAGAGAGAGGGGGGGTGGAGCTACATACAAATTTAGCATCATATATAATTGCTTATTTCTAAGGTATAGAATGAATAATGTCAAATACTCGGTGCAGATAAAGTTATGCCTTTCAATATTATGAATTACCAAATATAAGGAAAGAATATTAATCATAAAATACCATACATAAAAAAATAAACTATCACAATAATATTGATGTAGAATAAACACAAACTTACTTTCTCGAAGCTTGTTATAAGATTATAGGAACTCACTCTCATGTTCGAACTCAGTTATACATCCTTGACTAAATTTTTATTGCTGCAACAAAAAAAGTCCAAAAAGTTTAACAATCAAATACTGTTTAAATAACTATCAAAGGAAAATCAACTACAAAAAAATAATATAATATTTTCTAATACAATTGAGAATCTAATAATTAGAAAATTAAAAAACACATGAACCATAGAAAATGTTGATAGGTCTGGAATATATATAGTAAGAGGATGCATATTTTTTTGACTTATGAAATTCTTCTTTAATAGACAAATAAATAAAGAAAAGATCAATTGAATAGATAAGATGAATATGAACATTTCAAATTTTAGTTTTCCAACCTTTGAGATTCTCATCAAACGTAATTAATTGGTTAATATATGGTCACTTCCCATTTAATTGATTATTGTCATTTATTAGATGGTAAATTTATTATTTGGTACAAAAATATCATAGAATCAGTATTTAAATTAGGGGTAGTAACGTTGATTAATTTTAATGTAGATTTTTGTACTTATTTTATTTTAAACTTATGTTTTCCTACTTTTAAATAACTTACAATTCAAAAAATAAGTAAAATAATATTATTTATTTAATTAGATGTTTAATTTAGTCTAGGGATAAAATGGTAATTCAACTTTTCATCTTTGAAACTTCCACTTATAATAATATATGATATGATATAGCACCATTGACTCTTCCATATTTATTTATACCTTTTCAAAAAGTGGCATTTGTTGCCCTTGCAGAACTTAATAAGCAATCTTTATGCTTGGTTGTGATCATTTACTTCTTTATATTACAAAAGCAACTATATGTATGTGGACTCGGGATTTGAGTGCAATGGGGTCACCTCTATCTTTAGTATGTCAAATGTGCAACAAACTACTATTATAGTCAAACAAATACAACAACAAAGCTCGCCATACTACTATTAAAAAACTTAATGATAATGATACTTAAGGTACCAACTTCAATACGTATATATATAATATAATATATAGTATCATTCATTTGGTCCTAATGTACAAAGGTATATCATCTGCTCTTAATAATAGCACCAATGTAATTCATCTTTGACGACTTAAAAGATGGAGATGTTCTTTGACTCTTTCTACAAACTCAACTTTGCAAGTAAATAACCACCAAGTGATCGACTCCCACGAGATTCATAATACCACTTTTTACCATATATTTTGAAAAAGTTAAATCAAATACACAAATATTTTAAATATGATATTGAATAATTATCTTAAAATTTAAACTCCTTAATTAAAGGTACATTAATAATTCAAATTCTCAGTCTTCCTCCCTTGTCTCCACCCACATCCTCCACCATCATTACTGGTCTTCCTCCCTTCTCTCCACCATCATTACTGGTCCTCCATTGTAGCTAGAATGAATACACCCAAAAATGCACAATCCGATTCAAGCAGAACTGTAAACAATACTTTTAATAATGACACTTTTTTTTTCCAGATACTCACAACGATTTCGAGATACATGCTAAACAAATCATTACTCTTAAACATCAGATCATTAATTTTAATAATGACGTACACATTATTTGTCCAAGATACACACTAGAAAATAATGACACTTTTTTTTCCAACAATATTGTGATATTCGCCATTTGCAAAAATGCCTTGAAAATTGAAGATTCAAAAGAAGGAATTGATGAAGAAGATGAAGTAAAGATTAAGATTGTTTTATTAAAATTGGTAACAATTGATACGGATGGATCTACTAAATACGTTTTGTTTGTTAATTTCCCATCATATACTCTTTTAATTAAGGAATTAGGTTACAACATTTAATTCAAATCAATTAAATCAAGTATCTTGTCCTTTTAAGTCTGATAGATACATGTATCTAACGGCTTATGATACATATATCCGATAGCGGAAAATGATATAGAAAGTAATATTGAAAACTATCAGGATTCCTAGTAATTAGGATCTAAAGTAGTGAAATTTATGTAGTTTACCCATAATATTATCCTATGCCTTTATCTGAAAAATTGCAAACGCCAACAAACTGAAAAACTTTAGATCTATTAGACGTTATAACAAAATATATTAAGGTTATTACTAAAAGGATAAAATCCTTCCTCTAGCTTGTTCCAAGGTTATCAAGCTAGTTTTGTCTCTAATAGAAGGATTAATGGTAATGTCATTATCATTCAAGATAACATCTCAATTTCAACAAGACAAAAAAAATGCTGAGATGATTCTAAAAGTTGATCTTAAAAAAGTGTTTGATCGTTTAGAATGATTTATTATTTATCGTACCCTTCACACACTTTGAATTTCTTCCTCAATTACTAAACTTATTATGAGTTGTGTTGGTATATATACTACAAATGTAATAAATTACAGTTTAAAACTATAATGACAAGAAATGAATAAACAATTCATTCAGGTTGAGATGTGTATATCTCGCTCTCTTTATAGAGATTTAAGGCTGACAGTCGGCAGAAAATGTTGAGCAAAGCTGCTGGCCTCAAGAGTGCGGCTAATCCGTAACATCAATTGCAGAAGAATGAGGTTCGAGTTGATGTCACCAGTCTGGTCCCCTACCCCACAAAGTAGCTTGATGGCCGAACCACTCCCAAGGCGAATAGTGCCCTGTGTCTCATGCTGTTCCTTTTAGTGATTATGGGGTTGATCCTTATTTTGAGATTTTTTGATTTTCGAATCTTCCAATCTTTTCACAATTACAGTTCACTGCGCCCGTGTTCGTAGCTCGATCGGAGGTCAAGACTATGGTCAAAGTAATCTGGTGGAAAGGGTCCATAGAAAAAAATTTGGCTTCTTTTTCTTTTTTCTATTTTTCGTTTTAGAATAGAGAAAGAGTCGAAACTAAGGGTACGCTCTCTAGAAGATTTGCTCGGAGCTTTTTGGTCGCCTGCTATCTTGATTGTTCCTATTTCATTTTCTTCTTCCAAGCCCTTCTTAGCACTCACTGAGTTACTTACGAAATCTCAAATCTCTCTCGACGCCAAAAATTCTTTATGTGTCCAGGTCGGCGCGAAGGAAAGGGCCTTCGCCACTTGAGCCGTATGCGGGGGAACTCGCACGTGCGGTTCTTAGGGTGCTCAAAGAGTGCTTTCCAGAAGATGGAAAAGGAGAGAATGCACTTACAGCCTCTCTCTCATATTCACCTGCCAAGGCATGACATAGATAGTAGACAGTCAGCTCTCTTACAGCTAGTTACTGCGATTGATTGGGGACTCCCCTATCCTTTAAAGCCATCAGGCTTTCCGGATCCTTTTTATATAGAAAATATTGTTGGAATTTCAAAAACTTCCAGCTGGTCACCTTATTTCTTCGCTGAAGGTGTGATCCGGAAATTCCTTCTGGGAACAGCCAGAAGATAGAAAGACCAGTGCCTGGCCTGCTACTGCTTCAGATGGATAATACGACGTTACTACTCTCCTTCCTGCTTGCCATTCCTTTTTAAAGCTGCTCATTCTTCAACCCCAGGATGTGATGACCTATTCTATCTTAACTTTAGCTACTCAGAAACCTAAACGATGGCCCTATCCGAAAACTAATCCAATGAAAGCGCAGAAAAGCCCAGAGACTGTACTGAGCCATTCAGTGACTTTCTCCTTTTCATTTCATAATAATAAGGTAAGCATCCAGCTCTCGATCCAGAGCTACTGCTTCAAGAATCAACTGAGCTCAGGAAGTCAGGTTAAGACGTCGACTTTGACAGGGGAGATGAAAAAGAATTTCGGAGCCCAGCTCCAACAACTTCTTCGTAAGTGAGGTGAGGTACTTCTTTTTGGTTTGAATAGGGGGTCACCCTTTTTTTGGTTGAAGTAGCCATGACTTTGGTCGTAGTCAGTTTAACCCCATAAACCCAGTCCACTTGCAGCCATGTTGATCAAAATGACTAAGTTTAATGACTTGACCAGTCACTAGCCCTCGTATTATAAGATTCTCTCACCCTGTGGTCGACATTCCATTTCCCTTAGTCGTAGGTGCTCGTTCTATTTTGATTTGAATGGGCCGGAGATCCCGAGGTACATATGGCCGGCCCTTCGGGTGTCTCGGTGATACAAACAAAGAAAAAATGATGGTTTTTAACATACCCTTGAACAAAAAGCCAATCCTTACCAAAGGAGGAAATAGAATAGAATAATCTACCTTCTTTTTTCCTTCCCGTTGATTCCCCCTGACAATCAAGCTGCACTTCCTTCTAACAAGTGGCTGAGAGTTAGCAAGCAACCTTGGCGAAGAAATGATAGACTCCGTTGTTGATACGCAAGTGCAGATGGAAGATAAGTCAATTCTTTTAGGATAGATCGATCGTAGTACCTGCTAGCGCGGCTACGCAGTGGAAGTTCCATGAATCATGGGCGGATCTTAACAGATTTTCCATCAGAGGACTACTACGACTACATCATCGAGCCCACCGCAGCATAATCTACACCAATCCAGCAACATATCTCTTGACTTATCCCCTTCAGGATACAACAACCCAATAACATCGTACAATTCAAGCAACTCCGAATTAGTTGAAGAGTTCAAAGCTCTAAAAAAATACCTTCCTTCAAGGCTTTAACATATAAATACTCTCTTTTGTAAGTGAATTAGTTGATGTCTCAATTCTCTCTTTCACTATACTAATCTCAACACAATAATACATACTTCTCATCTTCTTTTACTATATGTTTCCTTGTTGTGCAAAACAAAGTAAAACCATTATTGTTAGGAACATATGTTTAACTCACATGTTTATAACAGTACTGGCTCTCAGTAAAATATGGAAATAATCGTATTTATATAACACAAGTTAGAGCAAAGCAAAAATACTTTGGCATCTTCAAACTAATAAACATACCATCAAATAATGCAGATATTTTATGAAATGGAATTTTCCACTCACTTGAAACACAATGAAGTCTGCTTCAACTCCTCAACAATGAGAGAACATTCAGTGTTGAAGCAACTAGACAAATTAAGGAGGAATTTATTATGGGAGGGTAATATCCAGAATCACAAGTTCTCATTGGTAGAGTGGGTCAAAGTCACTCGGCCAAAATCACAAGGGGACCTTGGAATCAGAAATTTGAGACTATACAAGAAGAGCATGCTAATGAAATGGTTATGGAGATATAGATAGCACTATGGAGGACTGAAATTGATGCCAATTTTATAACCCACACTCATTGGTGTGCTAAAATAGGCTCATGAACTCATGGAGTTGGCATTTGGAAGCATATTAGCAAGCAGACTTCTTCAAGAATATCTCCTATAAAGTTGGCAATGGATCTCAAGTTAAATTCTAGAAGGATAAATGGCTTGACAACAATGCTTTTAAAGGCTCATATCCTGGACTATTCTTGATAGCAGACAACACGAGCACGAGCACCAGTAGATTCATTCATTTGACCATATATCAAAGCACATTTGCTTTCACGCTGCAGATAAATATGTATAAAATTAGCCAATTGCAAGAAATGTCTGCACTATATATTGAAAAGCAAATGTTATCGAGTGAAGAACCAGCGATTTTTCCCGGTCTTGAACCTCTCCTCAAGCCTAGCCTTGGTCACTTTTTCAGCAGTCACCTTTTTGTCAAGTGCCAGAAGATCATCAGCATTGACAACATCCTTCAGATCCACATCGAGTGTGTAACAAGTAGCCATGATGTGGTTGTAGTTCACGAGCTTGATGAAAGCCTTCACACGAGATTTCTTCGCCTGCTTCGGGTACTTTGTGAGACCTGCAACCAAACAATGGCCATATGGCCTGTCCCTTTTTTCTTCATCAAATGCCCTCACTATCACAGCTTTCCAGGCAGCATATTTGCCTTGAAGAATGATAACAACTTTGTTTGGCTTCAAAAATTTCACCATCCTCGCCGCCGCTGATCCTCTGTCTCTCTCACTATCTCTCTCGGCTGGATGAAATGGTAAATTTTTAACTTACAAACTCTACAAATACACTATTTCACATCAAAATCCAAAAAATAATTTGAATCGCTGAAAATGCTAAATTTTGAACTTATGGAGTACACCATTTCACATCCAAATACCAAAAATAATTTGAATCGCTGAAAACCACAATAGAAAACTAATAAATTTTGAACTTATGAGCACTACAAGTATACTATTTCGCATCCAAATCCAAAAAGTAACTTAAAATCACTGAAAAATACAATAGGAAATGTCATCCTATTGTATTACTTAAATCACATTTTCAGGTTCTTTAACATCCACATTCCTTGGTGCACAAATCTCCCCAATGCAAGCTCTTGAATAAATACAACACATTACTATAAACACCAAACAGAGACAAACTCACAGAGTACCCCAAAACTACCAAATAAGTCATCACAAACTTTTTTTACTTCCAAATAACGGAAGAAAATTTGAAAACAAAAATGCCAGAGTTGTAAAGTTGAACCTGAAAAATAGAGAAAAAGCTGGGTTCTGTCCATTCAAATATACCAAAATTCAACCTCTTCAAAGAAACCCAGAATTGCCGAGAGTATATCTCCAAAACTAGGGTGCGGTTGAGGTAATTGGGAGAAGTTTTTTGGTCTTTACATCAATGGAGCTTTTCTCTCACTCTCACTGCTATAACGGCTATAGGAAAAATGTAAAATTTGAAGCTATGCGTGCTACAACTACACTATTTCACAGCCAAATCCAGAAAAAAGAAGAAGCTTGAATCACTAAAAGATACATCAAAAAACCTGAAATATGCCATGAATGAAGCTTTAATTTGAAATCCGCCATGAATGAACCCAAAACCAGAGAATTTTAATTTGATTTCTTGGAGTGTAATTCTCCAAAATTGGGAGAAGTTTTTTCGTTCTTGACATCAATGGAGCTTTTCTCCCGCTATCATTGCTATAAGGCTAATAGTTCAAGTCAAAAAGTGTGGGAGGTGGGACCCATCATTTTATTTTATTTTATTTATTTGTTGAAAGTATTTCATTTTATTTTATTGAGCTATATGTTCACAAAAATTAGATGTCTTATAATTAGTAGGGTGAACCCATCGGCAGCCCGTTAAAATTGGCACTAACTTTCAATTAGACACCTCAAATAAGCTTTGTTTATTTTGAACACTTTAAGTAGGAGTTCGTTGTGTCATTTTGATACTTTTCGCTGACATGGTATAATGAGTGTATAACACTCACTAACAGCGCGTCAGAGCTTTATTTAGCCTTCTTTTTTAATTTCTTTTTCGTCTTGTCCTATTTTCAACTACCATTTTCATAAACTTAAACTCCTTCCATGGTGAAAAGTGTTGACAGAAATTTTAGAGTTAAATATATATTTCACTGATTTAAATTTAATAGTCAAATTAGTTTATTATTTGTTTTTAAATTAGGACTCGTTTAAATTATGTGGTTCAAAATCATGATTGAAATTAATACAAACAATTTTGTTGCTTGATAGTTTAATCCTCAGATTCCTGTTAGATCTAATTCTCTCAAAAATTCCTTTTTATCTCTTTCTTAGATTCCATTCTGTATTTTATGCTCTAATTAGTCTCTAACTCTCCATGGAAAACGGCACCTGCACTTAAGTTTCCAATGATGATAAATTTCTCCATTTTGTTTGGTCCTAATTTTCTCAATTCTGCTTTTACTCCACTACGAATATAGAATAGGAATTATTTTTCACTCAAATCATTCAAATTCCATCGAATGCTTATTTTATAGGGAAGAGGATTTAATAGATTTTGAATCTTTAAAGAATAGAGAAAGCTCGGATATGGCGGAGAAGATGAATGGGGTAGGGGTGGATTTGATTTTCGTGGAGAAGACGATTGGTGTTGGCGGCGAGGGGGGGGGAGGGATTAGGGGGTCAGGGGTGGTTTGGTATTCTGCAAAACACTTCTTTTTAAAAGTGATTAAGTTTTCCTTTGTTAATTATTTGGGCAATATGCCACGTGTCATCAATTCACTGGTTATCTTTTTGGTTTTACCAAAATTCATTGTTTAAGAATTATTTTGGGGGGAAATGACAAATGTCCTTATTTTATTGGACATTTTACAGGTCACTCGCGAGTGTAATGCACACACATTAGATATTTTTGCTTATTGAAAAAAAAGTGTCAAAATGACATAACGGAACCCTACATGAGGTGTCTAAAATGAACATCGCCCACTTGAAGTGCCTAAGTGAAACTTCGTGCCAAGTTTAGAGGGCCACCGATGGGTTGCTATCATATCATGATTTAACATAGAAGTATCCACTCGATGTTAGGCTAAAAATAATCTTATTTTGACCAAAAATTATATACGAATTATTCAGATTACAATATAAATATTGGATATCGAACATGGAAACAAAAAAAATGAATTATTGTATATTCAATTACTGGTGCTTGAACTTCACAAATTTTATTCAAAAAATCTAAATAACAGATACTTCAAGATTTCGAAATAAAAGCAAATTTGATAGTAATTAATAACAAAGCAGATAATAAATATATGTTGAGTTATTTTTTTGTTAAGATTTAGTTTATTCTTCTTCCTGTTGTTATTTTTTTTCCATCTTAAAATGGATTCAGCATCAAGACCAACATGTTGTCTCTGACAACCATTGAAGAAAAAAGAGAGTGATGAATCAAGAAATAGCTACTATGGAGATCAGATTGGGGAATTAATGTAGTAAGTTCCATTAATTTTCGAAAGAAAAATATATAAGAGATCTTGAGGAAGGATAAAAAGAAAGAAGGCAAAAATGTGTTAAATTATTTTTCTAATAAGTTAAAAGATGTCTTTGTTTTCTTATCATCACTTGTGGACATCTTCATGAAAGAGTCACTAAACTACGTACACTTACCATCACTTGACTTAGTAGGTACTTTGTCACCTTACATAGGAAATCTTACTAGTCTCAACCTTGAGCTCAACAATTAATTTCCCACCACATGAGGTTGGTGGTTTGTTTAGGCTTCAGCATCTTAGTTTGACTAATAACTCATTTTGGGGGGAGATACCGATAAATCTTTCTCATTGCTCGAGTCTTGGTTTTCGTTGGAATCAATTGTGTGCAGGAAAGATATATCCATTTTGAGCTTGGTTCATTGCAAGTTCATAACAACAACCTCAATGGACCAATCCAGGAAACCTTAGGTAATCTTTCCTCATCAATCAATTAATCACTTTCCTTATCGAAGACATTGAATGTCTTCCGCAAGCAAACATGGGGACTGCAAGTACTCCTTGTGAAAAAGACTTTAAGTCTTAGCTAGCTCAAAGATAAGGGACTATTTTTGGTCTTTTCTCGTGTCTTCTTGTGAAAGTTTTCTTATTGATTTTACTATGTTTTTTTTTTTTTTTGAATTTCAATGATCTAAGATGTACCTAGCAATAGCAGAGAAAGACAAGAGGCCGAGGAAGGAGTACTTATCAATCATGGAGATACTAGTATATATAAAACAAGCGCATGAATGCTTGATATCGATAATACAGATGGGAGTTGCATGTTCAATCGAATCCCCGAGAGAAAGGATGGAAATCAGAGATGTTTTCAAGGAAACTCCAACTAATTAGAGACATTCTCCTTACTTCTCATGCTATTCACAAGTGGGTAAATTCGCTATACTAGCTTTGTTTTCAATCGTGATTTATGAACCAGCTGAGAGTTGATTTCTTTCTATAGAAAATGTTGAGTTGCTTAAAAACAATATTTAAAGTTATATCTGCATACCTAGGTTCATCGGTTTAACATATCCATAAAACAGACTATAAAATCTGCTAGCAAAAGTTAAATAGCTTACACACAGTTCCTCTGAGTTTCTAGACACATGTGTCGTCCCATGTAAATTCTTGTAGATTCATTAGAAGATAAAAATTCTATGAAGATATGCATGTGTGTCCCATGTAAATTTTCCTCTTGTTGTTGATCGTTGTCTTTCTTTCCTTGGTTTCAGGAGCTTGAGGTTCGAAGGGTCGTTCTGTTACTAGAAACTGGCAAAATTTCACATCATTTCATCTGCCTTGATATTATTGGAGAAGAACTCGAGTACATCGATGCATACTTGTATATGATTAGCTGAGCTGAAGAAAAATTACTTTAATCTGTTAATCGCCACTTCAATCATTTGCTCATTTGGCCTAACGCTGGTTAATTTAGTTGAGCTTAAACAAATGGAATTGGAATTGTCTATGTATGATGTTATGACTTGGAAAGGGTCATAACATCATACATAATCCCTTTAGCTCATCTCAAAATTTCATTTTGGCACGTCAACTCAGTTTTGTTCTATTTTAACCCTCCAACTCAGATAGATTACTAATACAAGTTAATATAAAGGCATAATATATGTCATTTAACTTGATTTCAGCTAATATCTATGCACTTAAACTTTGAGAGCGTACAAGTAGACACTTAAACTTGTATAAAATTAAATAAGTAGACACACATGTCCTACATGACATAATACACGTAGGACGTCACATTAGACGAATGTGTCTATTTGTTCAATTTTATACAAGTTTAAGGGTCTACTTGTGCACACCCAATGTTGGAGGGTATATCTGCCAACTGAAATCAACTTGAAGGGCACATAATTATAAATTATACCAAAAGAAAATAAATGGATAGGTAAAGTAGATGAAGGAAAAAATGAGGTTGAAGAGAAAATAAATAGAGGAGAAGGTTATTAACAATAAAAATATCGATTATTAACGCTAAAAAGGATCCATCACACATTTTTAAAAAGTGAATAATTTCATTCATCTATGAATCAGTATTTTGTGTTTAAATGATAAATTGGAAATGAAGTTAGAGGGTTAAAATAAAAACAAAGTTGAGTTGAAGTGCCAAAATAAAATTTAGGGACAAGTTAAAAAAGCTATGTATGTGTTTGACCTTCGACTTTTGAAGTCTCGGATAGTCTTGCTAGAAGATGCGCTTGATCAAGACAAGGCATCGAATGTTGATCACGACTTTGTTAGAAATTGGATCGTGATAAAGAGAGAATGCAACTGAAAAAGAATTTCAAAAAAAAAGAAGAAAGTAAAAAAAATGAACTAGTGTTGAGCATGGTGCAGGCAAGAAATTATTATTCTTCCAGATTTACTTAATTGTATCAAACTTTATGTTTCATTATCTTAAAATTAATGAAGTGAAATATGTGAATTTGTTAAGTCGATTAGTATCTTTTGAAAAACAAAGGAAATTAGACGAAAATGTTGTCATGTAGAACTAAACATAAGCAAATCAAATATATCATACTCTCTCCGTTTAAAAAAGATTGGTCTGGTTTGACTTGGCATGAAACAATAGAAATTAAAGAAGACTTTTGAATCTTGTGATCCTAAATTAAAGTTATGTCAAATGTACAAAATTGTCTTTAATCTTGTGGTCTTAAACATGCCACGTGGAAAGCAAAAAGTAAAATGTTACCAAAAAAGAAAAGTGGTCATTTTTTTGAAACTGACTAAAAAGGAAAGGAGGTCATTCTTTGTGAAACGGAGGGAGTAATAAAAATATAATCACATCCATGATTAGTTCAAAATCAAATCTTAAATAATTTGGAGAATTTTTACAAATTAAAAATCAAAAAAATGTTGTAAGAACACGAAGATCACATATATCTCAAACCCTAGGAGGCACAATCAGAGATATTTTGGACACCAACCGACGAAATCAAAATTACCAAAAAGAGAGAAATAAATTTCTTCGATCAACAAACTAGCTAGTACTTTTTAAGTATCTAAAGTAGTTAAATAAAGACGATAAATGTCAATAAATTAGCTCTTTTTCAGCCGCTTAACTGGAATTAGATCCAAGACTTCCATTATGAGCTCATGACTCAGAGAAAAAGAAACACGTAATAAACAAAGTCAAATTTAAA